ACTTAAATTACTTATTTCATCCCTTATCATAGGAACAGGTTGAGGAACACTTTGGGATAATGTTCCAATACTACAAATACTGATAGAGTGCATGGGAATTGGTCACTGGAAAGCAGCAGGCTATAGCAGATAGATTCACACATATGTTAAAGGTCATTTGTATCAGCAGTGTTTGTAAGAGCCAAAGATTGAAAACCATCTTCTTCCTGTATATGGCACTGGAGGATAAGCACTGGACTGCTAACCACAAGTGAACTGTTCAAGCCCACCAGCCACTCCTCAGAAACCCTATATAGGGTCACTATGAGTCAGAACTGACTTGACAGTACTTTAACAACAACACAACAACCTGTATGGTTCATCTATAAATAGACTATTAATACAGTCATTAAACATGTACACATATTCTTTCACATATATACCCAAATACCAACCCATTGCCACTGAGCAGATTCTGACTCGTAGGGACCCTAAAGGATAGAGTAGGACTGCCCTATAGGCTTTCCAAGACTGTAATCATTACAGATGCAGACTGCCTCATCTTTCTCTCACAGGTTCAAACTGCTGATCTCTCAGTTAGCAGCCCAGCTCTTAACCACTGTTCCACCAGGGCTCCTTATTCACATACATAAGAAAGCAGCCATGGTGTCTCTAGTATGCTACCAGTTGCATAAAGAATGAGAGGGAGAGCATATATTTGCATATTTTGTATATATTTGCGTGCATATTTATAAAGTATCTCTAGAAGGATATACATATACCTGGTAACCATGGATATCTTTAAGAAAGAGAACTGAAGAGCTGGGGGATGAGGTAGTGGGAGATTTTTCACTCTTCCTTTTGAATGTTTTACTCTGTAGAAAAGTAACCTATTAAAATAATAAACCAGCTTAGTTTGTTGTTTCTAAAAGAGAGAAAAGAAGAAGAAAGTTCCCAAGGTGCTATCAGAAAATGCTTTTGAGGATGAGTTACATGTAGAATAGAGGCTTAGTAAAATATGACTTTCCCAGTCTACAGGAGGGTCAAAGAAAAAGAGGAAGACCCCCAATGATATGGATTGGCCAGGTGGCAGCATTGATGGACTCAAGTGTGGCAACAGTAGTGAGGTTGGCCCAGGATCGGACAGTGTTTCATTCTGCTGTGCATAGGGTCGCTATGAGTTGGTACCAACTCAATGACACCTAACAACAACTTGAAATAAGGCTTCAAACATCCTGCATAGATTGTCCTTGTTGTAAAGTCTGTGTGCAAAGAAGGTGAACCTTTCTGAAGGAAGAAAGGGAGGGGAAGTTCACAGCAAGGTAGCAGTCAAACGTCTGTAGGAATGAAAAGTTTTTGTGAACTCTAGCATTGGTGTAAGGAGCCCTAGTAGCATAGTGAATTATGGGCTGGGCTCCTAACTGCAGGTTCTACAGCTCAAATCTACCAGTTGCTCTGAGGGAGAAAGATGAGGCTCTCTGCTCCCATAAAGATTTACAGCCTCGGGAACCCTATACAGGGTCACTGTGAGTCACAGCTGACTCAATGGCACACCACTACTGCCACCAGCAGCACTGGTATAAAAGAAATTGCGTTAATCATTTCAACCAGGTAGTCTGATGCCAGAGACCGTGATCTGGGACTATTAAGATTTTAACCCTTTTGTAAAACTTCTCTATGTTTTTCTCCATAAACTTTGTCTTTTCTCGTGTAACAATGGGCATTAAAATCTTCAAATGGATAGGGACTGTGAGGTTTTATTCAGGGGCAGCAAGGAAGAGAGGACATAAGGAGACCATCTTATGTCCTCCCAGAGCTATCTTGGCAAAAGAAACCCTGTCAGGACAGGTGGTGACAATTACCAAGAAGAGAGAGGGCAGGCAGGGGTCCCTAGACCTGCCGCCACTGAGAGGAGTCTACCTAGGCCAGTGAACTGCCCTCCAGGCTTGGGAGGAAGGGGTTCCTCAAATGCAGCAGTAGATATGCTTTTCACAGTAACAGGATTACATCTGAGATTGTTGAGATGAGATGGTGACGAGTCCATGCGTGTAGCACAGAGGGCTAGGGTTTTCCTCATGTCAACAGGCTGAAATGAGTTTATCTTCATTGTTACTAAGAGAGAATAAAACAGATTTTTCCAGGTCAGAGCAGAAGCACAAAGAAACACTCTGGTTTGTTCCTTTACTTTATGCTGATCTTAAATCAACACTGAAAACTTCAAATGGGGGATGTTTCCGCTCCTCCCTCCTGCCCCCACACTCCTTTCTGATTCTAACAACTTACTACTTTGAATCCCAGTTTTGTCCACCATTTCTCTGAAAGACCCACAATAAACATATGTGGATACTCTGCCCTGTAGAGTTGCTCTGAGTCGGAATCCCACTAGATGGCAATGGACTTGTTTTATTATTGGCTTTGCTTTGTTTTTGTTTTTTGGTGTTTGACTTCACAGCCTTTATTCTATGTAGGATTATACCCCACCTTCCATGTTCTATTTATAAACCATAGCTTATTTTTCAGGAAAGCAGATCTTTCACTAGAAGAAAACAAAAATAAGCATATGTGGACCACCTGGTGGCATAGTGGGTTACATGTTGGGCTGCTAACCGTAAAGTCAGCAGTTCGAATCCACTAGCTGCTCTGTGGGAGAAAGAGAAGATTTTTGCTCCCTTAAAGATTTATAGCCTCAGAAAATTGTGGTAATATGAGTCAAAAATGACTCAATGGCTATGGTTTCAGTGGTGGTGGTGGTGGTGGGGGTTGTTGTTGCTGTGTTTGTTTTGCTATTAGCAATGTAACAAGAAGCAACAGCTTGATAAACAGGCAAGAGAATGAAGTTGTCAAGGATTTCATTTTACTTGGATCCACAGTCAGTGCCTGTGGAAGCAGCAGTCAGAAAACCTAACGATGTATTTATATTGAGCAGATCTGCTGCAAACAATTTAAAGTGTTAAAGAGCAGAGATGTCACTGACACTGGTATGCCTGACTTGGCCACCACATTTCCAGTTGCCTAAGATGCATGCAAAAGCTGGACAGGAAATAAACAAGACCAGAGAGGAACTGATGCATTTGAATTCTGGTGTTGGCCAAAATATTGAACATACTATGGGCTGCCAGAAGAACACATAATCTATCTTGGAAAAAATATAGCCTTGGAAGTGAGGGGTCGCTATGAGTCGGAACCGACTCCATGGCACATACCAACAACAACAACTTTGGACATGTTTTCAGGCAGGGCACCATGCTTGGTGAAAGAGCAAGAGCCTCAACAAGAGGGAGTAACACAGTGGCTGTAACAATGGGCTCAAACATAATAATTGTGAGGATGACACAGAACTAGGCAGTGTCTTGTTCCGTTGCATATAGAGTCGCTATTAGACTTGACAGCATGTAACAACAACTATAGGCAATGAGTCCTTGAGTGGTGCAAACAGTTAATGTGTTCAGCTGCTAGCTGAAAGGTTGGAGGAGGTTCAAGTCCACCCAGAGGCACCTTGGAAGAAATGTCTGGTGATCTACTTTCACGAATTGACCATTGAAAATCTTACAAAGCACAGTTCTACTCTGACACATGTGAGGTCACCATGAACTGAAATCAACTCACCAGCAAATAATTTTACTATAGGTAGGCACCAAGAGACTCAATGAAGCTTACAGTCTCAGTGAGAGAGAAATTATTGCATTCAGAAATGAATAATCATGCCCAGAAGTAAAATGTTGAATGCTAAGGCAGTGGTTTCAGTGATAATGGCTTTGGAAATTCAGATGCCAGAGTTTCACTGAAAGTCTAAAGATTCAAGCTTCTTGGAGAAGGTGGCCTCGTATTGTTGCTGTTGTCTTAAATTGTCATTGAGTTGGTTCTGACTCATAGCAATCCTGCATAGGGTTTCTGAGGCTGTATATCTTTATGGGAGCAGAAAGCCTCATCTTTCTCCCATGATGTCACTGGTGGGTTTGAACTGCCAACCTTGTGGTTAGGAGCCCAGTGCTTATCCTACAGTACTACCAGGGCTCCTAGTGATCTTGTAGGAAAAGGTATATTTGGAGGAAGGCTAAAAGATAGCACTTCAGGTAGGTAGAGTAGGTGAGGCAAGACCAGTCTGTGGGTGGCATTAATTAATAACCAGATTAGTTGGTGTAGAGGATTGGAGATAGTAGTTATTGGTTAGAACAATTTCTGATTCAATGAATGTCTAAAATAGGATTTCTCCCAGATTAATAGAAACCCTGTGTACTATAAACATACCAATTAGAGCATTACAGAGATGTAACATGATCTGATATGACTCCTGCCATGTGCCCACTACAAATGAAGTAATGGGGCGGTGGTTGTACTCAGGGGAAGCTACAGTATCTGTGTCATGCCAAAATTCCTTACGTCTCTCATCACACAGTAGGAGCCCAGGGTGAACTTGAAAGAATACATCACTCTCTATCCCTGCACACTCACATCATATTCTTTCTCTTCCTCTCTCATTCTTCTTCCTTTTCCTGCTCATGGCCAGATGACGAGGAGGAATCCTTCCTCAATGTGAGTGATGGTTGGAATGTCAGCCTGTGACTTTTTAGAGAGGATGGGTGTGCACATGCAGGTTCACAGAGATGAAGAGATATGGGAGATATGCCAGTATTCACCTTGTCTGAGAATCAGATCCAATGTCCAGATCTACTTTTTAGCTGTGTAAACGTGAACTTTCTTCATGTCACCTATCTGTTCCTTAGTTTCATTTATTTGTAAAATGGAGATGTTACTACTTCCCTATCTACCTCTTAGAACTTTCTTAATATGTAAATGAAACAATGTTTGTGGAAGCACTCCAAGGCTAAAGAGCTTATTAATGGTAACCCAAGGTGAAAATTGCCTGGAGATGGGTGGATGAAATTGGGAAATGTCAGTCCTGTGATTTTATAAAATTGTTTTATATCCTTAAAATAAGTTTAATGATGTAGCTTCCTTTAATGTGTTAATAGCACTCACTCTAACAATTCCTTTTCCTCCTTAGATAACCCTAAGTGCAGAACTCAGTTCCCCCCTAAAAGTTCCAGCTCATCTCGCCTGGGCTTCTCATCGGTCCGTGGGATTCCCAGCCACCGAGGCAACAACTAAAATTCTCATGCGGCATCTTCAGGGACACTCTAGGCTTCAGTCTTTATCTATCCAGGCTCCAGAGCCAAAGCTGATTTAAAAATATGAAAAGACTTTTCAAGAAGTGGCACGATATTGTACAAGTTTGAAAGTTGGATGTGACTTGGCTCCTCTATTAAATGCTCTTACATGTTAAAAGTGAGTTCTGCAGGGTTTCAGTAAGAGGTGTTCGCTGGATCAATGTACAAACTTAAGTAGAAATGAGATATAGACTCCATGGGGTTGATGAAGGGACATGAGGACACCACTGGTAAGGTAATACTGTGTATATTCTGGGTCCCGACACAGCACACTCCCAAGGTTCTTTGAACGGTTTCATGAAGGACTATTTACCGTGCTGTGGGAAGGGTTAGGAGAATCAAGAAGGGATACTGACACACTCAGGACCTAGAAAAGTCAGATGTCTTAATACCACGTGACCTTCAGAGGCCAAGAGGAGGGATCAGAGTCTCTGGAACACAGTGGGAGCTATAGCCTCAGGAGAGAGGCTACCCAACAGAATATATATGATATAATAGAGGAGTAAGGAATTGTGGTAATGCAGTGGATTAAGTATTGGGCTGCTAACAGAAAGATCAGTAGTTCAAGCCTATCAGTTGCTCTGTGGCAGATGAGGCTGTTTTCCATAAAGATTTACAGTCTCAGGAGCCAAAACTCTGTTCTATGATGTTGCTGTGAATTGGAATTGACTCAGTGGCAATGGGTTTAAATAGAGCAGGGGTGGGTAACCTTTTTTCTGCCAAAATTTATGACATCATTCATGGGTCATGCAAAATTATCAACTTCAGAATTAGCCTGCTATATTTGGTCAAACATTTAATTAACTCAGCCAGCTGCTCCTCAGAAATTCTATACAGGGTTGCTATGAGTTGGAACCAACTTGAAGGCACTTTACAACAATATGATGGTGGTGTCTCACTCAACTGCAAGGTCGATTTGAACCTCAAGATTGGTGATTCAAACTCACCAGCTGCTCCTCAGAAACCCCATACAGGGCCCCTATGAATTGGAACTGACTCAACAGCACTAATAACAACAACAGTGTGATGGCTGGAACTGCAGTTGCCTTGGCAGAGCCGACCAAATGATTTCAAGGGTTTTTTTTACAGCCTGTGGGCTGGATGGTCCCCACTCTTGGAGTAAAAGGTCAGTACCAACCAAAGCCTAGCAGTGAGATGATGGAGAATACTTTCAAACTCTCTCTGTTCCCACCTTTCAACATCCCAACAGAGCTTGGGTCAAACCCAACTGGAAGTCAGAAAGCAAGGAAGCCTAGGGATGTTGCTCTCAGATGTCAGACTCCTGAGGCATAGAGCAGAACTGAGAAGTGTGGCTGGTGGACCAGGATGGGGAGGGGCATCATTTTCATGGGACAATAGAGAATAACCGGCACAATGGGGGAAATGTTTCCAAAGACAGAATTTTGATTGGTTTTCAGGCAATATATATGGACTTCAAAGAGTTGTAAATGAAATTTAAAAATGTAACTGAACTACAAAAATCGTAGTCATATAAAGGTAAGTCAAAAAGTACTGCTATACCCAGGAAACATCAAGGCAAGTGGTCGGGTTCCCTCAGTGCAAACCCCCTTCCAAGACTAAGACTCAATGGGAAAATACGTTGTGATTGGTGACCACGCTTGATACTAATAAAGAGAAGTGAGGAAAAAACAGCAATGAAGAGGTGAGCTAAGCCCTACAACGGTCAATAGATTTCTATGAACCTGGGTGAAGACCTGGTTGGCCAGCAGTGTGTCAAGACCTGGGGACTCTTGGGCCCAGAGTCAGAGACATAGCCACAGAGGACTAGAGTGGAGAGTGAAGCGTCCAGCTGATAAGAAGAGAGGGCATATGCATAAGAACACCCACACTTGCAGATAATACCCACTTGTCCTGGCTTCAATGACTGGATGATCAGAGCTCAACCAGAAGTAAAAAGAAGAGGAAAAAAAAGTATTCTCATACAATTTGATGAACTTGACCTACACCTATGGAAGCAGTAACTCAAAAGAGGGAACAAGTCCTAACAGCAAGAATCATTCCCACCCCCTCCACACACAGAGTAAACAGGGATGGGCAACTTGGACATTGGCTACCCAAAATGGGGAGTGGGGGGCTACAAAGGCAAGAAGTGACTGGCTTAAAAGCTTTCAAGAGGGAACCTAGATCCAGAGGGCCTGGAGGAAGGTAGAATCTCCAGTGAGTAGTATTCAATCTGACTAGGCGGGGCTGATGCAATGAAATACAGATGAGTCTCTTGTGATACAATAGTGAATAATTGTTATCAGGACTGATTGTGAGGGTTGGAACTGTAAAGGTAGACGTTTTATAGTAAGGAGGGGAGTGATTAACTTTTCAGTCTAGGAGCAGAGGTCCCTAGGACCATCAAGGGAGAAGAGCAGAGAGCGGGACCCTACCCAGAGAAGCAGTGATGCCTGAAATGGAGCCAGAGATGATGACGTGGAGCAATGGAGCAGCTGGAGACTTTAGATCCAGAGAGGGAGAGCGACTGTGTGCTGAAGACCTGGGGGGCACGGGGGTAGGTATGCATGGAGGGGGTTGTAACCATGGCAATGAGACAATATACGATAGAATGAATATAAAACCAATGTTCTCCCATGTAAACTATCACATAATTCACAATAAAACATTAAAAAAAAAAAGTACTGCTATAAAATCATAGACCCCTTTATTAAACAAAATATCAAAATGTGAAACTACTGTTCCCTGACACAGACCTCCATCTAGGTCTATACACTTCTGAAAGTGGTATTACTATCTCTCTAATTTTTCTGGGAAGAATTCTGTGCACTTTGACTTATGCAGTTTGGGCATCCTCGAGGGACTCAAGTCATGTTCCTTTTAAATGTTCTTTGAGCTGGGGAACACAAAAATGTCATAAGGGGTAAGATCAGGGCTATAGGCATATGAGGTTATTTAGGTTTCATAACAAATTTTCATAGAAAAGCCCTTGCTACCTTAAAAAAATGAGGTGCATTGCTGTGATGGAAAAATTTCTTGGCACAACTTTCCTGGCCTTTTTCTCACCAGTGCAATTTTCAATTTTCTTGAAACTTCCTCATAATAGGTCTGTGTCCTTGGAGACAACCTATCAAGGGTATCCCTTTGGAATCCCAAAAACAGTTGCCATAATCTTCTGAGCTGACTTCTCTGCCTTGAATCTAACTGGCCAGAAACTACTGCTTTGGTTGGACCATCTTTTTTTTGAAGGCACCCTAAAACAAGTGTATTAAGAGAGAACTTGGCCTCAGGCATCTACTGATTGCAGTGACATATTTCAACACGCTTTGTTTAGAATAAACCCATGTATGTATGAACTAGAACCCTAGCAGCAATACTTTTTGACTTACCATTTTTTTTGTGTGTGTTTATAAATGGTAGGTTGGAAAGACAGCCCAGGACACAGTGGTTTGAATGTCCAAATGATTGATGGGAGACAAAACATGACCAATTTACAGTTTATGACTTTGCATCACCCAGCTAACAAGTGGGTACTAAAGCAGAAAATAAGAGAAATATACCTGGAATGAGACTTTGTGTTCTTTCCACGGGCAAAACAGACAGCTCTCTGGAAGGGTTTCTGGAAGGTCTGCTCTCAGGAGCAAGGGGCAGCTGTGTACGCTGAGGTGGTCTGCGGTGCCAGGTTTCTGCCTGCTTTATCCCAGTGCATCCTATTGACTATATCAGGAGTCAATCACATTATGAACACATCTTTCATAGAGTATGCTCCCAACTCCTTCTGATTTTCTTTTGTGGAGTAAACCAGAATCTTCTGTGGCAAAGATATTGAAAAGGAAGCCCTCATTCAGCAGAAACAGCTACTTCTTTGTTTCTTAAAATAACAGCCAGTGGTTTTCCTCATGTATCTACAGTTTGTGCAGGACTCCATGAAGAAAGCTTGTCTTGGGTTCATGCAGCATCTTCTAGACCCTCTCAAGAGATGGCAAGAGGATTCATTTCCAAGATGGCACACTGGCATGGATAAAAAGTTGATGTTGGCTCAGCCAGGGGCCTGTTTCTCTCCATGTGGGATAGGTTCTACACAGCATGAGATCTGGGTTCCAAGAATGAGTGTTTCAGGAAAGAGCCAGGTAAAATTTGTATCACGTCTTATGCCCTAGCCTTGGAAGTCTCATAGTGGTGTTTCCACCCTATCCTAAGAGTCATAAAGTCTTGTCTAGTTTCAAGGAGAAAGAACATAGTCTCTTCAGGAGAGTTGCAAGGTTCTGGAGGAATGAGTAGGATGGGCAATTTTATTGTCACCCATTTGGGAATGGACTGTCTGTATCAGGCTGGTTTCCTGTGTAACTCTTGCCAACCTTAGTGATATGAACTAAACAGACAATTTATATATAAGCTGATATTGATACTGATATTGGCATTGTAGTTAAGCAAAATTATTGAACATCTAGTATATGCCAGACTCTATGCTGGGTTCTATGCAGGTGATACAACCTTGCTTGCTGAAAGTGAAGAGGACTTAAAACATTTACTGATGAAGATCAAAGAGCACAGCCTTCAGTATGGATTACATCTCAATGTAAAGTAAACAAAAATCCTCACCACTGGACCAATAAACAGCATTCTTCTCAATGGAGAAAAGATGGAAGTTGTCAAGGACTTCATTTTTCTTGGATCAGCTATCAACACTCATGGAAGCAGCAGTCAAGAAATCAAATGACGTATTGCATTAGGCAAATCTGCTGCATAAGACCTTTTTAAAGTGTTGAAGAACAAAGATGTCTGCTTGAAGACTAAGGTGCGCCTGACCCAAGGCATGGTATTTTCAATAACCTCATACGCATGCGAAAGCTGGACAGTAAATAAGGAAGATCGTGGAAGAATTGATGCATTTGAGTTATGGTGCTGGAGAAAAATATTGAAAGTGCCATGGGCTGCCAAAAGAACCAACAGATCCGTGTTGGAAGAGTGCAGCCAGAGTGCTCCCTGGAGGCCAGGATGGCCAAACTTTGTCTCTCAGACTTTGGACATAATGTCAGGATGGACCAGTCACTGGAGA